AAGCACCTGTTATCTGTGCTGGGTGTTTATCAATGTGGTTGGCAGTCTCTTTGTGTTAAAACTTATCAAGTGTATGATTAAGTAAAATATCCAGATCTATGATGTGTGAATGTTTGCATAGGTAAGCTGTATATGTATTTTTGTACACATTCCTCTCCCCCCCAATACCTTCCTCCCTCCCTACCTCTTGTAGAAAAGATCCTTTTCAATAGTTTCAATCTCACAATCGCGTTATGAGAATTAGATGAGTCTACATGTAAACTACTTAGAACAGTGCCTGATCTATGTAAGCACTAAATGAATGCTAGATATTATTCTTATTTTATCCTCACATGCACTGTGACCGGCTCTAAGGATATGTATATAACTGGGGATATGTATCCCCAAATTATGTATAAAAAAATGGCTGCTACCCTTAATGAATAAGAGCCTTGGGAAGGTTTTTTTTGTTTTGTTTTGTTTTTTAATAAATGACCAGTCAAATGCTATATCTGAATTAGGCACATGGTGCACAGAACATAAAGGAAGGATATTAAATTAATACTGTTGGCAGGAGAGAGGAAAGGGCAAGGAGAATCCGGAAAATATTTCTGGAGGACAGGACACCTGAGCAGAAAGTTTTCAAAGAATATATTGGAATTAGCTGGAGCATGCATGGGAAAGCTTATTCCAAGCATACCAAGTGGGTATGCAGAGACTATGATGCTATGGGCATTTGGAGACAGAGTTTGACAGGTTTGGCATTTAGGATACAGATGCATTATAAGATGTTAAATGTCCAGTTTCTAGGAAGTGTTCATCCTATCAGACTGAATGCTTGTCAGTTTACATCTGAGAAATACCCACATGAACTGGAATGAGAAAGCTATGTGAAGACACCCACGCTCCACAATGTCTAAGTTCTACAAACTTAGACATACAGCTTATCACCTAGCATTGTAGTTTCCCAAAATGGGGGTAATAAGATTGAGCAATAATATGGGGAAGGCACCTCCCTTCTTCTAACTGATTAGGATGCTGCTGCCTTTGCTACTATGAGTATTTTCCATTTAAAACATGATATTTAAAACAGATACTGGCCAAATAAAACATGTAAGTATTCTAGGAGCCACACTGTTAACAAAAGAAAAGTAAAAAATGTTTATCATGGAAAAGCAATTACTGGGTATTGGCATGAGGGTGAGGGACAGGGTTAGGAGGAAGAGGATAGAGAGAGGACTACTATTTTCAGCAGCTTTCCTGCTTTGAAATCATACCCCCATTTAAGTGATGGTTTGGCTAATCTCTCCGCACCTTCTACCAGAATCTTTTGTAAATACACAAACTTTTAGCTGAGAAAAGATAGCCGTACTTCATTTTATACATCTGCCACATCCAAAACAGTTTTATCTGATGATTGATTATTTTGTAGCACATCTTCCCATGTTTGCTTCCGTGACTCATCTGACTTAAAGAAATTAGACTGTCTGGGTGCATTTTCCCCCTTCCACTGATGTAAGCAAAGCTATAGGAGGAGAGACTTCACGCTGTAAATACACATGGTAAATTTTGCTTCTTTTGATAAACATTTCTTAGTCAATCAAGACTTGCTTGTACTAAAGACTAAATGATGAGTATATGTCACAAAGTAGAGAACTGTTAATGCAATTTGGGCCAGTTAATGGATTTTGCTTTTTACCATTTTTCCTTGATACTCTATACCAAAATCTCTTTTGAGGAGTTGGCATGACATGTGGGATTTTTTTTTTTTCCTCTTCTCTGTCATCCCTCTTCCCAGCCATCCTTCTTAAAACATCTTCTTTGGCAGTAAAGGTTAGCCCACGTTTATTGAACACCTACCATATGCTTGTATGCTTGAGATACAGTGATGAAGTATCAATAATTATTGGTCTCTAGATATCTCTCACGGAGAGATGGGAGTGAGACAAGGAAACGGGATAATATGCTGTGGCATGATCAAATTATACACAAGATTCTCTGTGGCAGGGAAAGGTCAGGGGATATTTTCTGAAATGTTTGATCCTGTAGCTCAGTTCTGAAAAATGTAAGATAATAAGGAAGAGAAGGCAAAGGAGGGAGGAGCGGAGGGAGAAACGCATTCACTGAATATTTACTATTTTTTAGGCACTGTGAATTGTCACCTTTCTAACTTAAAACACTTCTCTGAAGTCGGTACAGACGTCATTACAACTTTATAGACGTGGAAACTGATGCTCACAGAGGTAAGATTTGCCCACAGCCAGGAAGGGTCATAACCAGGAATCAGACTTGGGCAGCTCAGTTTCCAAGCCCACTCTCTGTGCCGAGGAATTCTGCTCCCTCCCCTGAGAAGAGCAGAGAAGGAGGAAACTGGAGGGAGCAAAGGTGTGGACACTTTAGGTAGGAAAAAAAGCTGCTGAAAATCCTTGGATGCCATGAATAGCAAAGAATTGTTGACAAATGGCCCTACATGGTGACATGAGGGAATCTGACCTCTGCCCTGAGCTCTGGGGTAACGTGAATGCCTCTGTGTATCTTCTGGCCATTACCACTGCCCCATGTCCTATTTCACCTATATCTCAGGACAGGCTTCCAACTGCAAGGGGTCAATATAAATATATCCTTCGGACATAGTTTTGAAAAACTGTGCCTGGACTGACCATCATCAGTAATCATGGGCTTTTATAGAGAAACAGGAATGTAGACATCTTTTGGGCAAGCCTCCTCATTCTGGACAAAAAAGAAGTGGCTCAGAGTGAGGCAAGTATTTATCCAAAGCCAGAGTTCAGAACCCAGGCCTTCTGCTCACAGCAGAGTGATTTATATTTTTAGCTAATTAAACATCAGGTGACACTGCCTTCCTGACCCAGGAGGATATTTGTGGGCACAGGAAAGGAGAGCAGCCTCGTACCCAAAATGGGTTCATAAAACTGCAGGTTGGGGAATCTTACTTCCCACACCTGGTCTCATACTCACACACCTGGTCATCCCGCAGACTTTTAGTCAATAATAAGCATCTATATCCACTCAACTGGTTGAGTCACTCACATAAGAATGATCCTTGACATCTTTCTCTCTCTCCTCTGCCAATACCAATTCAACATAAAGTCCTGTTTCCATTTCCAAAACACACGTAGGGCATGCATCCCTCTTTGCTGCCATTGCATCTTCCAAGCCAGCAGCCCTCTCTCCTGTTTAACTGCAATGGATTGCCATGCATCCATTCTTGCTTTCACTGGCTCACAGCCAAAATATTCTTTGTCAATAAATACAATCAGATCACTCCTGCTTTTTTAAAAAAAATCACATTGCCCATTGCATTTGGGGTACAATTTCCTTGTCCTACAAAGCCCTGGATTATTCGTCTCTGTGTACTTCCTCAGAGTACATTAAGCATCAGGCTTATGAATCTTTTTTAGGTCCTCAAATGCCCCAAATCCCATCTTGCCTCAATGCTCTTACACAATCTACTCCTTCCATGCAATGTTCTCTCCCTATACTTAATCTTAACTCTTCTGCATATTTTAATTCTCAGCTGAAAAAGAATACCTTTAACGAAAGCTTCACTCACCTCCCCTTACAATCTCTCCCATATAAATCATTCCCCAAATGATATTCCCTTGCAGACTCTGAGCAATTACATCACATTTAATTATTCATTTATTAGCAAACTGTTTGACTTTGAGTAAGCCGTTCAATTCTCCGAAATTTCTCATCCTCGCCTATAAAATGGGCATACTTTGTAGAACAGTTGTAAGGACCGGAATTAAAGCACTTAATAGGCATTCAATGAATAGCTATGTTATTCTTAAATTCCATCCATAGCCCAAAACAATACTCTGTACAATGGAAAATCAATCATGGCTTAAGACCCAGAACTAAGGTGACGATCAATCAGAATAGAGAGACTTTGGGCGCCTGGGTGGCTCAGTTGGTTAAGCGACTGCCTTCGGCTCAGGTCATGATCCTGGAGTCCCTGGATCGAGTCCCGCATCGGGCTCCCTGCTCGGCAGGGAGTCTGCTTCTCCCTCTGACCCTCCCCCCTCTCATGCTCTCTCTCTCTCATTCTCTCTCTCAAATAAATAAATAAAATCTTTAAAAAAAAAAAAAAGAATAGAGAGACTTTTCTGGAATACTGTCTCCAAGAAGAAAGCTCTGGGAGCCACCTGTACATTCCAGTCTGACCTATGGAAACACCACTATTAGTTCTTAGCCATGAAAGAGGCCACTGAAAAGGGAGAGAAACATACACAACTGGGGAAAACACTGAAATACAGCTTATGCTGTGTAAGTTCATCTGTCTTAAGCTGAGGACACTAAAGAAAGATTTTTGTAAAAAGCTTTCTGCATTGGTTAACAATGGTTTCTGCCTTTTCCCTCTCAACACAGTCAATGTTCTAACGTTCATAAAAATTGGAACACAGAGCTCTCTTAAGTCCTGTTGTCCAAACCATAGACTATTTGCAAAGCAAGCCAGTACCAATCTTGAATAACATTTCCAATGGTTCTCCTAGAGCACAAACACATTTAAATGTGCCTATTCACAAGTTTAAAAAAGAATGTAAATGTATGCACATAGGAACATTGAAATAGCCTTCTGTGAGGCCATTTAATAAGCCAGTCTCTTAGTCATTACACAGCAAATAAACTAGAATTAGAAATCAGAAGCAGAACTGTCATTATGCATACCTGTAATTAATTTTAGGAAGTTCATACGTTCCAGAAAAGTTGTCTGCATACCACCATTTTGTAAATTGGATTATATTTTTAAAAGCACTAAAGGAGGTAGCTGTTTTAACTAGCATTCAAATGAAACCTTCGGTAACGTGAAGAATCATTTTTTGTAATATGAATAATTGGCATCATTAAATTCACTTTGTAAACAAGGGACACTTGTACCATGTTTAGATTCAAGCAGATGATCCATCTGCTCTTGGTTTTGGGATTCATTCATTCAGTTAGCATTTTTCAAGCATTTGCTATTCGTGTATTCATTCTACAAATATTTACTGAGTGCTTACCATATGCCTGGCACTGTATTAGATGCTGAAGATTCAGGAATGAACAAGAGAGACGATATCCTTTGCCCTCCTGAAGCTTGTACCCTAATGGGGCAAGGTGATGATAAACACAGATAAATAAAAATATACAATACAATCTCAAGTAGATACATATGTTACAAATAAGAACAGAGCAGTCTCAGGGGAAAGGGATGGACTGCAGGGGACTGGAAGGTTGGGTGTGTGCTTCTGCTGATGGAAGAGCCAGGGAAGTCCTGGTTAAACAGGCAAAATGAGGGAGCAAGCCAGGAGAAAGACCTGGGGCAGGGTGCTTCAGGCAGAAGGAACAGCAAATGCAAAGGTCCTGAATCTGGAGTATGTTTATGTTTGAACAATAGCAGAAAGTAAAATGTGGCTTGAGTGATCCAGGGAGAGGTGGGAAGATCAGCAAGGTACTCAGAAACCACCTCATGATGGACCTTCTCGCCTATGGATGGAGGTAAGCATGAGGCAACTGTTCTCAGTACCAGTAGACAAGGAATAGAAGACTCAGAATCCCCAGATTTCTGCCCACCACGGGAGGGATGGTTTTCCAAATAAATTAACACGCTTATATCTTTTTTCTTGTATCCTCCTAATTCTGCTCTTACCTCCTCTGCCTCTATTGCCCTTCCCTCCCTTCCTTCCTTTCACCATTTTATAAATATTTATTTTGTACGTATTGTCTTTCAGGCAATGTGCCTAGGGATCTGATGGATGCCCTCTGCCCTGGGCATAGAGAAAATTCTCCCTTTTCCCCACACACTTCCCATTCATATCAAAACTAGAATCTGTTCCATGAGCTTCTCCACTGGGATAACTTGTGAGTCAAACACACATAGGTTGGAATCCCAGCTCCAATACTTACCTGCTGTATTATATTAGGCAGTGCATATAATTTTCCTGTTGTCTCAATTCTCTCATCTGCAAAACAGGAATAATAATACACACTTTGATGGAATGTTTTAATAATTTCTAGTTTTATCTATAAGCCAGTGATTATTATTATTACATTACTATTTCTGCTTGTTTCTTCCTTTACAACTTGAGCCTCAAAGTTAAAGGACATAGTTATGAGGTTTGGTATGAGGCTGAAACTGTCTTCTAATCCTGTCTCCTCTAATGTTCTAGAATACTGTATTCCTGATTATAGGATATAACCCATGGGATCTGACAACCTAAGATGACCCAGCATGGAAGCAGGCTGGAAAGCCGTGCCTGTGGGAGATTGTGTTAGCGGCCTCAACTCTTCATCCTTCCCTGTATCTACACCCCTTGCCATACAACTCTGAAGTTCCTCTCACTGAAAAAGCAGATTATATTTTTCCACCCCTTATCTTTTGATCTGGCTATGTGGTATGCTTTGGCCAACAAAAGTGTGAGGTAGAAGGGACAGTTTCCAGTCCTAAGCCTGCACCCCAAGAGGCCATGCATATTTCTGCATGACATCTTGTGTAACTGCCATTGCCATGAGAATATGTCCAAACTGGTCCCAGGAGGAGGATGGGAAATACAGGGAGCTGAGCAGTTACCCTGGCCTAGCTCAGTCTGGACCAGGCAACCCCAGCCAAGCCATGGAGGAGAGCAAATAATTGTTATTTTAAGCCACTGGATGCTGGAGTCATTCATAACCTATGGAGATATTTGAATAACTGTCTTAATTTAATAAAAATATTTATTAATAAACATTATCATTTAATCAAACATATTTATTGGACTTCTCTATTTAATACACCAGGTGCTGAGGATACAGGCATAAATCAGAAGGATATCATCCCTGCCCTTGGGGAACTTACAGTTTAGGTGAGGGAGGAAAACAAAGAAATGCTACTGGTCAGAGTTGAAAAGGGTCTGTTTCAGAGAAGGGGGTTGCCTGAGATGACTGGCTGACTACCCCTAGTAGTGGAAAGGGGAACTGCATCTAAGAGATGCTCTCACTCTCATTAAGAGTAGGACTTAAAAACCCCAGAATGTCAGCTTTGGAAGGATCCCTCCCTGAACTTATCTTGGGTGAGCTCTCATTTACAGCTAGGCTCAGAGAAAGGGAATGAGTTATTCAGGGCGACTCAGGGAATCTGTGGCAAATCTAGGACAGGCCACCTGTCCCCATAGTAGACACATCTAATTCTAATATGACCTCAAATGGGTCTTACAGTGTTAGTAAACTTTGAACTGCCATAAAATTCTTGGCCAGAAGTTTTATTACTAACACTATTTAAAATAAGATAAATCTCCACAATTATTATAATTCATAATTGTAACATGACTCCTTTCTTGCTCAGGGCATTTAAGGTATGATAATAACTAGACCTCATAATTAGTAATAGTAATTAATAGCTTTCATTTATTGAGCCTCTGCTCTAAGCACAGTTTTGATGGCTTTAGATATGTAGGCACATTTAATCCCTGCAACAATCTAGGCACAGATAATAATCTCCATTTTATAGAATTGGAAACTGAATCTCATGGAGATAAAGTCTTTGTCAAGTCATACAGCTAGCTAATAAGAGGCAGAACCAGGAATCAGACACAGATCAAAGGGCTGTGGTTTTTCTACTTTGCTCTGCAGACCCAGCTGTGGCAACCTTTATCTGAAATACTGGTTCACAAATGGCATTCCTGTTCCATCTTTCTCAATGGTTTCCCTCTGCCTAGAGAAGGCACGATTGAAACCCACTGCAATGTGATAAAACCATCTTCCTGCTTGGATCTTGCCTCACTTTTTACACCTTATACCAAAGGATACCTCTGGAGCAGGAAGCTTTGAGAAGACCTGGGGGAGCCTGGAGCTTCTAAGTGGTAAGGAACTGACTCAGCAGGGCCTGGCTATCTTCAGAGTCTGAGGAGAGGCTCATCAAAGGGAGGATAGCCTGGTACCTTTGATGAAGGAACCAACAGGAAATTATTAGCCTCATGCTGACAAGGACAAAGACAAGAAAAGGGCCATTTGGGCCTCATCTCTGTCTGGACTGGAAGAGGCAGGAAGCATAAGGGGTTGTTTAATCCCGGCTCCAGAGCAACGTGAACCCTGGTTTCCTCCCTTGAAGAACAAGGTGAAGGAAAGGTGAGGCAAGTTAAGATAAACACCCAAACTTCTGGCTGCCTGGGTGAACTGAATCTTTTAATTTAAGCTGTCAGTGGGTTCTTTCTTCTCTCTCTCTTTTCCTTTTTTAATCTAAACTGTAATCACACAATACTCCACCCAAGTGCTTGATATGGATTTCTAAGACAGATCCTAACATAGTCATAAAAAAAAAAAATCCCCTCTGAAATGTGCACTTTGTACTGTGTCTATGTGTAGGTGTGTTTAAAATGTCACGAACTGGAATACCTAACTCTAGTTCCCAGGAATTAATCACTTAGAAGAGTGAAAGGGGGAAATTAACTTGCTTTAACACTTACAAGACTCTCCAAAGCAGGCGCCAAAATAGAACTTACTGAGTAGACGTATGGTTATCTTTCTATAAGAACTAAAACTCTTAAAAAAAAAAATTTTTTTTTTCTCTAAAATTGCCTTGCAAAATCCCCCCTCACCCCCAGCCAAGTTAGGGCTCAAATGCAGGTCACAGACTCTCACAGATTCCTCATAGGGAATAAAGGTGTAAAAAGTTTTTGGGGGGATGGGGGGGTGGCCTTTTTTAAAGTAACAATTCAATGAATTTTAGCTAAATGTGTAAATTTGTGCAACTACCACCACCATCTGATTTTAGAACATTTTCAACACCAAACAAAGTTCCCTCATGCCCATCTGTAGTCAATTCCTATTTATACGCTGAGCCAGGACAACCACTGATATGCTTTCTGTCTCTATAAATTTGCATTTTCTGGACATTTATATAAAAGCATCATACAATATGTGGTTTTGTATCTGGCTTTTAGCATGTTTTTAAGATTCATTCATAATGTAACATGCATCAGTATTTCTTTTCTTTTTAATGCTGAATACTACTCCATTTTGTGGATATACCACATTTGTTTATTTGGCAGTTGATGGATATATGGTTTATTTCCAAATTCTGGCTGTTAGGGATAATGCTGCTATGAACTTTCAGATACACGGCTTTGTGTGGGTATGTTTTCCACTCTCTTGAGTAGAATCAGAGGCACAGAATTGCTGGGTTGGGCAAAGGGCTATCGACCACTGTTAGACACTAGGTTTCATCTGATTCAGATATGCCATGTCAGTGGAAATCTACCAAACAATTCTTAACTTATCTTTAAAATCAGCTGATACTATCTTTCATGAGTGGGATGGTCTAAAAAAAAGTCCCAAGAAACAAATAACAACCAACCAACCAACCGGGCGCCTGGGTGGCTCAGTTGGTTGAGCGACTGCCTTCAGCTCAGGTCATGATCCCAGGGTCCTGGGATTGAGCCCCGCATCGGGCTCCCTGCTCAGCAGGAGGCCTGCTTCTCCCTCTCCCACTCCCCCTGCTTGTGTTCCCTCTCTCGCTGTGTCTGTCAAATAAATAAATAAAAATCTTTAAAAAGAAAACAAACAAAACAACAACAAAAAAACAACCAACCAACCAGCCAACCAAACAAACAAAAAAACCCCCAACTGCTCTCATTTGATGTATTCTGAACAGAAAGTGGAGGGCAAATTCCAACTAATATCAGATCACATGTGCCCAGGCTCCGTCTGTGGACATGCCTCCAAAACGGAATTAATTGAAATTTTTCTCATGGATCAAGAGATGCCCTCGCCATCACAGATGCTGGACATCTTTGCGTATGTGTAATTAGACTGACGATGGCTTCGCGGTCCCTTTTATGCCCACGCGGAAAGGATGAGACAATCCTGACAACAGTAGCGGAAAAAGCGCAAAATCCAGGTATCTCTGAAGGAGCGTGTAACTTCTCTCCGGTGTAACTTCATTCCCGGGCGAGGGGGCGCAGTGTGAGCACCCCATCACCGCCGCTACGCCCCGCCGGTGTGAGGGGCACTTGCGGCGGCCGCCTAGGACACACTGAAAGTTTTAGGGCTTAGGGCACACGGGAGTGGCAGATGGAAAGACAGCACCAAAGGGGTTGAGAAGAAGCTAGAGGATGGAGGGGCTAGGGTCAGGGCCCAAGCTGAGGAGGCGGCAGAGACTGGTACCGCGTGCGACTCACCCGCGCGCTCCGGGGAAGCGCTGGGCCCCCTTGGCCTCGCCAGTCGCTCGCACCTGGGGGAGTGAGGCGGGGGAGCGCGGCGTCCAGGGTCCAGAGGCCTCTGGGACGTGGGGGTCGGGGGGAGCAGTGGAGCAAAGGAACCGGGCAGCGGAAACCCAGCGCCCCCTCCCCCAGCCGGGGAACGCGCAGTCTGAGGCCACCGCCCCACGGAAGGCGCGGGACGCGCGCTGGTGGGGCGGGGGGCTCCCGGAGGCCGCGAGGACGGCGGGCGCGCCGAGGGGGAGGGGCGGCGTGCCGGGAGGGCCCGCCCCGCCCGCAGCCCCCGCGCACGGTGCCGCGCGCCCATCAACCCACCGAGCCTCGCGCGCTCGCAGCCCTCGGTGTGGCCGCGGCCTTTAGACCGCCTCTTCCTCCGCTGGGCGGGCTTCGGCCGCCCCTTCGCCTGGCGCGGCGTTGCGCTACCTTCCCCTTTCGTGGGCCGTCCGAGTCTTTTTCTTACTCGTCCTCGTTTTCCGTTAACTCGTCGGCTCCTCTCCTCCCCGTCGCCCCGCTCTCCCTCCGCTCCTTGCTTACCCTTCCCCTACGCGGGCCCGTCACCTCTCCCCCACTTTCCCATCCTGACCCCCGTCCCTCCTCGGGATTCCTTTTCCCCGTGTTCCCTTTGCTTCTTCATCGTCCTTCCGCCTCTTCTTTTTCCGCCACCCCCCACCCTGGAAACTTGTTCCAGACAGGGATCCCCCCCAGGTCATAGTCGTTCCCCTCCACCACCAGGCCCGCGGAGTGTGTGGGTCCCCCCACCGCCTCGGGATCCCCCCCAGGTCATAGTCGTTCCCCTCCACCTCCAGGCCCGCGGAGTGTGTGGGTCCCCCCACCGCCTCGGGATCCCCCCCAGGTCATAGTCGTTCCCCTCCACCTCCAGGCCCGCGGAGTGTGTGGGTCCCCCCACCGCCTCGGGATCCCCCCCAGGTCATAGTCGTTCCCCTCCACCTCCAGGCCCGCGGAGTGTGTGGGTCCCCCCACCGCCTCGGGATCCCCCCCAGGTCATAGTCGTTCCCCTCCACCTCCAGGCCCGCGGAGTGTGTGGGTCCCCCCACCGCCTCGGGATCCCCCCCAGGTCATAGTCGTTCCCCTCCACCTCCAGGCCCGCGGAGTGTGTGGGTCCCCCCACCGCCTCGGGATCCCCCCCAGGTCATAGTCGTTCCCCTCCACCTCCAGGCCCGCGGAGTGTGTGGGTCCCCCCACCGCCTCGGGTACTACAAACGCGCCGCCCAGTCCCGGCGCGATTCCGAGGCCCCGACCTCGGCTGCCTCTTCTTGCCGCGGCTCCGCGAGGGCAGCAAGCGGCCGGGGCTCCCTCCCTCTAGCGGGTCCTCCCCGAGGGATGAAAGAGAGGACTGAGGGAGGATGCGGGCCCTGCACCCTCGGGCCCTCTCCCCCGCAGAGCCGCACTTCCCGCAGAGCGGTGGTGGGTGTGCGGCGAGGGGGCCCTGGGGCAACAAGTGAGGCTGCCTGAGGCGGGGGCCACCGGTACCCGCCTGAGGCGGGGGCCCAGGCACCCTCGGAGGCGGGTGGCGGGCGCGAGGCCCACTCTGGCGAGACGTCCCCTGAGCCCCCCTCCGCACACGAAGCAAGGCGGGGGTGGGGGGACGGAGAGAGAACGAGAGACTTGGCTCTTCCCAAGTCCGAAGTCTCCCTCCCCAGGTTTCCCTACCCGTGCCCAAGCAGAGTTTGCGAGAAATGGGGGAGGGCGCAGGGCAGAAGCCGCCGACGTGGACGGATTTTCGGAAGGTGGGGTGGTAGAGTGAGGAAAGACAATTCCCGATTGCCTCCCCCGCTCGGGCGATGCTTTCCTCCAACCCACCATCCAGGCCTCCCGGGCAAGGGCCCAGCCTGGCCAGCTGGAGCGGATTTGGGCGAAGGAGGAAAAAGGGGCTCCCAACCCCTCCCCGGTTTCCCTCCGCCGCCCTCCCTGATTGGCTGTGCGTCCCTGGAGCCCAACTTCAGTCGCTCCAGACTCTGTCTGAGCCCCAAGGGAGCCGGAGTGCAGCGACCGGGGGCAGGCCACGAATCCAGGGGTCGGCATCTGTGGGGCACCGAGGGGGAGGGGTGCGGACACAGTCGGCCCCCGCAGCCTCCGCCAGGCCCAGCTCGCCGTGTCTCGAGTCCTCGGCTTCTCTCCGCCCCCCGCCCTTTCCTTTCCCTCCCAGCAGCGGCCTCCCTCCTCCTCCGGCCCCCCCACCCCGCCCGCCACCTCCCCCCGGTTTCTCATTCCTGCCACTAGCGCGCTCGGCGGCTCATTGCGCGGCCGCCGCCAGCCGAGGGGAGCGTCGCGAGCAGATGCCGCGGGGGCCGCTCGCAGCCGCCGCCGACTTGTGAATGGGACCCGGACTGGGGTCGGGGCTGACACCGCCGCGCTCGTCTTGTGCCAGGGACCGACGGCCCGTAGCTCGCGCCCACCCTCCAGGGCCCCAGGTGAGGCTCGCCGCCAGTCCCTTCCTCTCGACTGGATGGGGCTTCTTGGGGGGGGGGGTCTCTGGATGAGCATGTCTAGGGGTGGGGGAAGGAGGTCTGACTGGAGAAGGTTTCACTAATGCAACGCAGAAACGGGGGGAGGGCGGAGGTAAGAGAAGATTTGTTTAAAAATCAAAAAGGGAGACGGGAGCCAGCTGCGGGCGCGGGCGGCGCGGAGAGCAGAGGCGCCAGATGTGCGCTCCAACCTCTCTCCCGCTCGGGCCTCCTCTGGGGTCTGCGCGGAGGCCGCGGGAGAGGGGCTTTGCGCCGGGCTGGGGTAGAGGCTGCAGAGCTGCGCCCCGGACGCGTCGACTGCCCGCGGTCGGGTCTCGGGGGAAAGTCGCCCCCGGCGCGGGGCCGGCCCGCCCGCCGGCGCTGCACCTCTTTCCGAAAGCGGCGACGTGACCGCGCTCTGCAGGGTTCCTGCCCCTTCCTCCAGGTCCCCGCCGAATGCTCCCGGGGCTCAGCCCTCCTTGCGGGACCTCCGGGAAGCCCCGGCAAGCGGAAGGAACCCGGGTCGGGTCGGCTGTGGCCCCGCACTTTAATAGCCGGTCTTTGGGTCCGCTGACTGCGGCTGAGGGGCGGCCGACTGCGGTGCGCGCTCCAGACCTCCAGCCGGAGTCTGCTCGGGAGCTCCGGGGGCCGCCTGTTACCTCCCGCCAGCCCAAGGGGAGGTCTGCGAGCGGCTCAGACTCAGGCTCGGCTTGCCTGGGGCTTGCGAAGCCTGCCAGGGTCAACGTTAACTTTGCGAACCAAGCCGTGCCCTAAGCCTGCGCCTCCTCCCAGAGCGCGCCAAGCCTCTCCCGCTCCCCGCACGCACGGCCCTCCTCCCCTAGCTTTGCCCCGGAACGCGGGCCGGCAGGATGGGAAGGGCGGCGAGGAGAGCACCCTTTCCCCCCTCAAGCCGGACAGAGCTGTAAGGAGGGCCCGCCTCGCTCTGTGAAGAAAAGAGTCCCCAGAGAAAGTGGGGTCGGGGAGTTCCCCCCCCCCCGGTCGCACTTCCTTATCCCTTTCTCGCCAAGGCCCTGCTTTCGCGGGGGCGGGAGGGTGTGTGTGGGGGGTGGGGGGGTGGGTGCTCCACACGCCTCCCTCTCCCGAGTGAAAGGTTTTCTAGGTGCTAGAAAAAGCCCTGTTGCTTTTGCTGATAATGGAGCAAGAATTTCATGGGCCATCGCACTGCTATTAAGAAATTGCATCTTTTAATTATTTAATAATGCCATCCCTGCATGACGACGGATTGTCCCTAAGGGATGGAGATGGAGGGTTGTTCCTGAAACCCTGCTGTAGGGGGTATCGATCTGTCTAAAGTCTTCCCTCCCGTTTCCCCCTAAAGAAATCTCGTTCGGGTGGTTCTGAAATCTTTCCTTGTTTTCCTCTTCGGATCTTTCCTATCAGGTTAATATGAGGCAGGGAGTAAGTTTTCGGTTTAATCAGAGGGAAGGCAACGATAATTAATCTGGCAAGAGGATGGATCAATTCTTTATCACTTGGGCTTGCAGCAGACATCGATGGTTTTGCGGGGTGTCTGGCTTCCGGGGAATGGGAATGTAGAAGCATTCTCAGGAGCGAGGATCAACCAGCATCGCATCAGCACATTTGCCAGGCTGGGCTCCGAGCGCTAGAGCTTAACACCATGGGAGAGTTGAAGAGAAGGGGCTGACCTTCATTTCATTAATCCAGGAATTATTTTTCCTATATACGTGAGATGCAGACACCAGAACACAGAAGTAGTCCCAGCCCAACCCTAGCTGCAGGGAGCCTGGTCGTCTTCTCGCAGAACAAAGGAATAAAAGTTGCAAAACAAAGGGACAGAGTTGTGGTCAATACCAGAAGGATCCTGAGGCTCCTGGTCACTAGATTTCTTTACTCCTGAGCTCTGATTCCAAGTTTTAGAGTTGGCAAGTGGGCCCTGGAATTCGAACCTCCGTGCAAAACTGAAACCCTGCCTAGTACAAAGAAATGTAAGTAGTTTTCAAGTATAGACTAGGGAAGGGCATCTGAGAAGCCAGGAAACTTTGCTTGGGTGAGAATTATCTTTACATCTTAGTTTTGAAACATTGCAAATTAATGCATTAAAAATGTGTTGCAGCCAGGCTTTATTGTTAATACCAACTATTACTATCATTTTTGTTGTAATTTCATCATAAGCTGGCCATTTTATTACATTTTTGAAAAAAAAGGAATAACCCCCCCAACACACACACACACCCACATCCCTGGAGTGGGGGATGGGGAGGGAGAATGAAGAGGATGGAGATTGGATCATCTGTTGAGGCCCAAACATGTAGATTTACTCAAACTGGGTTTATTGCTTACTAGAAAAAAATAGGCTTTTAAAATAGTTCTAATTGAAGCATTGGACCATCTTGATAGCACTTCAGAACTTCCATTATGTTCAGCATTCTTATCAGAACACCAGACAGTAAAATTACTAGAAACCTAAATTCTATTTTCAATTAAGATGCAATCTTTTGTTAATTTGAGAATTAAAAAAAAAAAAGTCACGGCTCTATTTTTTTATGTCCCAGAACTCTTCTTTCCTCTTTGCAGGGGTGGCAGTGGATGTATATGTTTGTTTGTTTATTTGTGAGAGGAGAGGGGGTAGGGTTGGAGAGCCATGCCATGATTTGGGGGAATACAGATCAATTTCATGCTCCTTTAATGCACTTGTCTTCATAATTCATGGTTTTTCTTCCTCCTTGAATAGAATTACATGGCTGCCTTGTAAAGATTCTGGTTTTGGGGACCCTCTATGGGAAACACCATGACTTTGACCTCAAGGCTTGATTTACAATGCCAGAGCTAAACTCCCATGAGCATAGTGTGTCTCAGAACCTTGCCCATGAATGTCTGTGACTTATGAAGTTGACAGTTCACATAAACTTTGATCTGTGATATTCAGATCTATTTTCAGAACCATCCAAAGGAGATCTGCAGGTCTGATTTTAGTTTTCCTCCATTTTCAATACATTTATATAGGCAAATGTTCAAGAAGCATAACCAT